CCCGAGAGCAACGATTCCGGGGGGGGGGGAGGGAAGCGATGCCATAGCGGTAAAATCGTAAGCGCCGTTTTTAAGTCACTACGCCGACGTATGTACAGTAGACTATAACTATATTGCCATGTTCGGGGCCGTAGGGGAGTAAAATGGCAATGAGTCGAGAGCCCCCTCCATGCTGAGTTCTGTCGCCATGGTGGGATAGCGAATTTGTGTGCACGAAAGTACGTGTGAAGGGGAAGTGCCCCATGTGGCAATGTGTTCAGTGGCAATATAGTTAGAGTCTACTGTATTTTGATAAGTGGCCGCGTGGGTTCCGTTTCGCGAAGGTACTATGCTATGTACACACGCATATGGTGCCTCGTCAGAACATCGTTAATTCCATAATTCATTTCGTTCTCTCTCTCTCTTCCTATCACACATTCTCTATTTATATTTATCCGCCGGTTCACAACATTTATAATTCTGTACAAGCCCTAGCGCGCTGCCCAATCACACCCCTGTATGTCCATAAGAAACGTTCTAAGGACAAAAAAAAAAAAAAGAAAACGGACACGCATCAACCGGATTCGGGCTGTTACAATTAGCCCACTCCCTCCCCCCCCGCACGTTCATACACGGGACACCGTCTCTGTATCCTGGCCTGCAGAGCAGTATCCCGCACTTTTAACGCCTAGAGATGTAAATTATCGAGAAAGTTTCGTTTGATCACATTTTCACGTTTCGCGGCACACTACGAGGAGGGGGAGGGGGGTCGCGTGTGCGAATAGTAGGATACGATACACAAGGTGACACCGGTCGGTTCTTCCCGCCCCCGAATGTACCAAAAATAATTGAGCTCTTAAGTATGTTATTTTTGCTTGTTTGTTAAGTCATTAAACGACACGCAGACTAATCTCGCTTGTACTTTAGAATTTATTGTTGTATATCTTCCGGTAAGAGTTCCTCGTTTTCCCGCGCGAACGGTTGTGCACGGAGAGATCGGAACGGACTGTGGTGCGTGAACCGTCGATTCCGATCGGAAG